CAATGGCAGAGCAGCTATGAGTATGTTGCGTTCAGGAAACTCGCAGCTGTGACCGAAATAAACATCGTTCACTATGTAAACCAGTGTGGTGGTTGCTGTTGCTTTTTATCGAACGAAGCAGTAGAGGTCGCTGTTGGATGAGACTTCGTTGTGGTGAATGTCTTCGCGAGGCTGAAGCAGAGAAAATGATTTCGTATAACGCAACAGGGGGGGTTTCGTCGTATGGGGGGCAGTAGAATGGGAATTGTGTCAATGCATTAAGATTTTTTCACATAAGAGGGTATTTCCGCCCATGTAGGTTTTGTTCTAGAGGAGTTTCACTGTATTGGGTGCACCGCATAATAAGGTGCATACAATAGAAGCTACAATAGTGGCTGCGGTTGTGTTGTGCATCCACTAGACGGAGCCATGCTAAAGGGAATACAATACAATAGAGCTTTATTTATATAGAGCCTTCACAACCTCTGCAGCTGTAACAAAGCACTTTACAGAATATTTAAAATACTTAAATTAGCCTTTCCTTAAAGTATTCGAGATCCAACCCATTAGATGATTGATAAACCAGTAGCAGATTTCAATTGAATACCTTATCAAATAGAGGGAACAGACATCTGAAGTCCTTCTCCTCTTGCTGTGCCTCAGTCAGTCCTGTACCATGCTGCTGACTACGGCTGCGGTACAGACAAGCCTCCTGCTGTTCTTGGTCTCTTTTCTTTTTCTCCATCTCGTCCCACTCATTCACGAGAGCCTGAGGGGCATCATAGCACGGACAACCGAATCAGGTTTGAGGAACAAGATCTAGATTTTCCAAACAATTCAGTGGCTCTGACCTGACAGATATGCCTAAAGATGTTTTGTGTGTCATCGCTGAACTGTCCTGTGCTAAGTGCGTGGCACTGCACAAACAGAAGAGCATTGAGTAGTAATGTGGAGGGTGGCACGTCCACATGAATGAGGTCTTGTTGTGACAGCAACTGCCCAAGGCTTCGCAAAGTTCCCTGGCATTCTTTGGAGCAGAGGAAATCAGCATGGGATAGGTAAGACTGCATACTGGGGGTCACGGAGGGAAAGGAAAGGAGGCAGGAGACCAGTTTGGAAAGTTCAGGCACATGATAGAGAGAAGAAGTTATTTGGGAGGCAACCAGCTTCATGCCATATCGGAGCTGGATGATTCCAGTCTGCACTGGACCGATGACATCAGGGTAAAGAAGATAGTCCTTTTTTAGCCTCTGGTAGAAGCACTGCTGAGAGTTCTGCCACACGGTCTCCTCCTTCAGAAGACTCTGGATGGCCGACCGTGTAAACGACGAGGAACTCTGCAGAGCAGTCTGTAGGTGTGAGAGTAGGTCTTGCACTGCTGATGCCTGACCGATGCTGCAGAGGTAGTGCTGGAGATCCTGGAATAATCTTCCATAGTTGGGTTCCTGGGGGCGAAATGCCTGCTTCCTGGAAAGCTCGGCTATTTGTGCTTTTACCTGCTGCATACGGATCCAGAGGTATCTATAACCACAAATCCCAAAAAGGCGTTTATTGTTCAAAATGCAATTCTTTCATTCATAAACTATGAACGGATCTATAGAGTGTGAGACGGTAGGTCTGATCATATATATACTGCATATTTTTTTCAAGATGTGATCCCTGTGTAACCATTTCTTCATTTATTAGAAGTTGGCTGTGACGAAACATGCAATCATCTATCATCATGTAGTGATACGACTACAGATGGGGTTTTAAAGTTTAATAAATCAGACTGTTGGCACTACTTGGTTTAAATCTTCTCCAAAATGTCCAAAGTATTTCACAGTGGGTACATCAATGAATAAAGGTTGAAAACCAGTCAGTTGGTGTGTGACAGATCATTCCCTGCCTCAGCCTGGTTCCAACCTTGGATTGTATTTGTGCTTGTGCATTTAAGACTACAGTCCTGTTTTTGTTGTTCATTATAGGGTGAAAGTTGCAGCTGTCTCCAAGTGTGGACTGAATGTGTGGCAACAGTGGGGAAATGGAACAGTATACTTTGTTCAAAATTTTGCGTGTTTTTTTTTTCGGGTACTCTAGTTCCCTCCCACATTCCAGAGACATGCAGGGTAGGTTAAATGAACACACTAAATTGTCCCTAGGTGTGATTGTAAATGTGAAGGATTGTTTATCTATGTGTGCCCTGAGATTGGCTGGTAACAGGTTTGGGGTGTACCTTGCCTACTGCCCATAGACAGCTGGATTAGGCTCCAGAACGCTTGTGACCCGCGTGAGGATGAGCGGAAGAGAAAAATGGATGGATGGATGAACTATGACATGAACTACTACATTTTAGAATGTAGAAGAACTTTCCCAACACTGGTTGCACAAATGCTGATATTTCAAGTTACAGTCTACAGTGCAATAAAGCGCGGGAAATGAACAAAGATAGTGTGAGGAAGGTAGATTAAAAACAGTGGCCTTTAAGTAAAAACACAAACGAGCAAAAAAAAAAAAAAAAAAAAAAACAAGAAATGGCTCTGATTGGCTGGTAACTTTACTGAGTCACCAGTGAATGGGAATTCGGATCTTCGTATATTCATAAGTGGCCGTGGCAAATAAAAAAAAAGTTGAATCATAATTTGTAGTATTGGATCAAATGGTGTGACGTTTTATTTACATGGTAATTATTTAGTGCAAGTTTTTTTTGACGGCATACTTTTACGATGTCAGTTGACGCATCTGAAAAAAGAATGTGGATGGAGTCGATACACAATAAATCACAGATGAAGTTCTATTGGCTCATACCTGATTCGAGGATGTTTGAGACCATCAGTGGTACTACTCTCCTCCAACTCTGCTCCGGTCTTCAGCTCAGAGGACATGCTCCGTACTTTCCACTCTGTCTGCAGAATGGCTAACTAAAAGATTGAAGAAGACAAACACTTATATTGAAATTAATGTTTGTTCCGTCTCTTGGAAGTATACCCTTAATGTAGTTAGAAAATCACAAGTGGTACCCTTACTGACGAAATTAATTGGTTCTGCAAGAAATTTCTTAACTAGAAAATTTTGTAAGTAGAGACGCGTTTTCCATGTAAATGCCCAAATTCGTTCCAAGCCCCCTAAAATTCAGACATGTTTTCTAAAGCATGAAAATGCATCGAAATATGTGATGAAAATACATGTTGCAATTAGATAATTATTATTAAGAGTTGTGCATAATGTAAAAAACAAAGAATAGCGTAAAGAATAAAAATGATGGTCATTTAACTTAACTGCGTCCTTGTTTTTTGACCTCTTGAGTTAATGTTCTCTGTCAGAAGTGATTTTTGCCTGCCACTTTGTAAAGAACTGATCCAAGGACATTGCTTTTGTTGACTTTTAACAATCCTTCGAAAATGTCCAAGGCAAACATCAGCATAGTGAGCCTTCGCCCGACTGGTGAACACTTTTTAGGGTGATTCACATTTACGTAAAACTATCAGAGGGGCGAACGACGAGGACGATGCATAGACACATATCTATAGTAATCTCTCGCTTATCACGGTTAATGGCGACCAGAACCTTCCGCGAAAGAGGAAAATACGCAAAGTGGGTACCCCCACTGTACAGGTATATGTACATGTGTAAGAGTATATATAATATTTATCAGGGGAAAATTTAATGGTATACATACAGGTAGAAGTAAATGTTTGTAGCAATTAACATTACTTAATGCTATATACTAATATATATATGTGTGTGTGTGTGTGTGTGTGTGTGTGTGTGTGTGTGTGTGTACATGTAGAAGATATACAAGTTAGGTTAGGTTAATGTATAAATAACAAAATACAATAAACATAAACATGAAATATACATGTAGTACTGTACATGTTGCTCTATGTGACGCACTGGTGTTTTGCAGACTTTCGCTGCCTCTCACGGACCTTTTGCGGCATTTTCACTTTTTTTTTTTTTTTTTTGATGAATACTTTTGAAAAATCCGTGATGCACTGAAACCACGATAAGTGAACCGCAAAGTAGTGAGGGATCACTGTATCTATGTATCTATCTACACTCAGACACATACGGAAAAGGTCCCTCTTAGCCAATGGAATGCGAGGAAGATGCTATGGAATAGTCAACAGCAGAGCAGCTCTAAGTATGTTGCGTTCAGGAAATTCGGAGCTGCGAGCAGCAGCCCATACTGTATTTTATCTTTCATATCTTGGAATTTCTTTCGTAACAAGAGGCAATATTTTCCTGTTGAGGCATTTCGTAACTTGAAAATGTTATATGAAGAGACGTTCGTAAGTAGAGGTACCACTGTAGATGAAAACATTTGATTGTACCTCCTGCTGGGCATAATTGAGTTTGTAGGCTCTCTTGACAGCTGGGTCAAAGATGGTCTGGGGTGCCCATAAATTGATATTAAGCAACCCCATGTTGACCCAGAACGCACCAGCGTAGGCCACAGAGTTGGTGCCTTGAACTTTGTTTTCAACAAACTGCTTCAGGCAGGCAATACAGGTATCCACTACACCATCAGGAAGCAATTTAGGGGGAATGTAATCGCTGAGAATTTTCTGGATCTCCTCAGCAGCAATCAGTGGGTTGGATTTCTCAACCAGGCTCTCACAGCGAGCCAGATAAACCTCCTGCAAACTGTGAGGTAACATGTGTGCCATGCTCTGTAATTGTCGACGTAGGATGGCACCCTGGAGCTTCAAATCTGTGCCTCTGAAGAGAAATTATGTGATCAGAGACACAAAGGTTTGCAATTTAGCAGTATGAGCATATTTTCTGCACTATAAGGCGCTTCGGATTATAAGGCACATCTTCAATGAATGGCCTATTTTAAAACTGATTTCATATACAGGGTGCACTGCATTACTAGGTGCATAGAATAGAACAGTGTTTTTCAAACCCTGTTCCGCGGCACATATCCAATTTATATGCCTGTGCGGTCTATGAGAAAGTTGAATGCTTTTGGGTGCGCCTTATAGTGCGGAAAATACGGCATATCGTAATGTTGCCTACCTTAAGTCGGCCAGTGCTGGAAAAGCCATATTGTCCCACAAGATGGCAGATAAATCCTGGAGCTGCTGAGTCTGTTCCTTCCACTCCCCCAGGTTCACATTTGAGACTAAGAGGAGAGCAGTCCCTGATGGTTCCCACTGTCTTGCAGTTGCACTGGTGTTGAGCACCCCGAGGGCACAATGTGACCACACAGCTTTATTTAACAAAGCTGGTCCCTAAAAAGAAAATACTTTATAACAGGTAATGTGCTGTCTCTTCACAATCATTATTTTCTGTGCAAATATACAGGTATATCAAAAAAATATATTCATAGCCAATACCATATTTTTTGCTGCACAATGTGGCTCTGAATCGGGTTGTTTCTCAGGATTGAGTGGATTCCATTTCAGCCAACGGTCAGGGTCAGATGTTGCGCTGTTTGTCCACAGAGCAGCCAAAGCCTCAGACAGGAGTTCACACCATACAAATGGTAGTTCCTCTACCGGCTGTTGGGTATAAACATCATCATTGTACACTCAAAGATGACTTTATAAAGGTGAATTTTCCTTGTACACTACTCAAATTATGAGAAGCGAAATTTGCCCAGCACTCAAACTCGAAACTATAAAACACCAAAGAAAGGGACTTTTCATCCAATTCACTCACTACTATAAATATCAACTTGTTCTTGTTTTGCCTGTAATAAAGTAGAAGACATTTCTTTCCTAAATCAATGCATCTCTTTATTTTTTAATTCTCTTTTTATTCAATTTATATTCACAAATCCAGATTAATAAGTATCTTAAGTATTAAAGCACAGACACTACATGTTTAAAAATAACATCTGGGGTGCACCATATAGTCTTCAAAATATATTTTTTTAAATGACTGGAAGAAAAACACAAATGACTGTCTATTCGCAGTAACAACTTTAGCCACCTCTCACAATTACTGAACAACACACCTTTTTGAAGCCTCAGAGTAAATGTTATTCTATCCATTTGAAATATCTCAGAGTTGGCTTTTCTGCTTTTAACCATTTTCTAGTGATTGTTTTCTTGCATCCAGCACTCAATATCTGAAAGAAATATTTGAAAAGATAACATTCTCTGATGCTGTATTATAGTGGTGAACGAATAGAATGCAACGGCCTAAATTCAAAGCGCCAAAGGTGCTTCCACCAATTTCTTCAGCAGAGGTGCAAGCACAATCTCATCACAAACAAATTCTAGTATTCCCTCAATTTACAAAGTACCGGTACCGTAATTTCCGGACTATAGAGTATACCTGATTATAAGCCGCACCCACTACATTTTTAAATGAAAAAACATTTAGTAAACACACAAGCTGCACTTGTCTATAAGCCGTTATCTTAATATCGTTTTTTTACCTTTGACCCATTGGTGCAGAGATTCTATTAAGATATCAAACAAAGGAACCTCAGTGAATTCCCCTGACTTGTTCTAGCAGAAAAAATTGTCCAAGTCCTCTATTGATTTTAATTTATGCCCTTGGGCACGCTATGATTTTTTTTTTATATTCTAATGAAGGTATCATGAAATCCAAATTTCTCTGTCGATCTTAGTTAAGGTTCTTTTCACTTTTTCTTTCTTTCACTAATTGGAGAAGATAAACCATTCCCTTTAAAAAAGTCAGTCAACACATTTACATTTAAGTTTTTTTCCCCCCAGTACCATTTGATAGAGTATACTAAAGTTTAAAAAAAAAAAAATCACTATCCAAAAATGTAAAGCTTGATACTTGCCCTTTCACTCTTGAGCAGGAACCACAGTGGCCGAAGTTGAATTACACTCATTGGCGTGGACTGGAGGCAATAGCGAAGATGTCTGGAGACTTGTAGGCGCAAGCTGTCCAGTGCTTCTTGGTCACTGTGAATCAATTAAGACAAATAATAATAATAATAATAAATAAATCACGATCATAGTTTTGTTTTGCTATTGATTTGAGTTAAGTTTTACCTATGTGAAAAAGATAGTTGCAAAAAATCTGTACTGAGCCTCAGATGGTTGAGTACAGCCACTTTCTCCATCAGAGGCCACAATTGAGCCCTGCGGCTAAGGTGCTGAAGTTCTTGTTGAGACAGAGGGAATTCTTCTGCTGGTCCATCCTCTTGGGACATGCTGTTGGTCTTCAAGAGACCACAGGATGTCATCTGGTGCTGCTGGTGTTCCACACTTGACACCAACCTCTCCAATATTGCTGATGGGTAGATACATCAAATGTGGTTATTGTTGTCTTCGCCACTGGTTGGTGGTCCACGGTACATTCAGACACCTCAGTTATTTTATATGAGGACATAAGTCTCTTATTTACCAGTTTGCAGTTCTTTCTCACAATAATGTTACTGTTACAAGTTAAGATTCAGTATTTTAACTTCATGTCTACGTTTGTTCTTAAATCCAAAATGATGCAGCATTGCCATCTTCTGGCAGCTGTTTGTCATTACAGCTTTGTGTCAGCTTGAATTTCGATATTTAGAACATTTCCAATTTTTTCACAAACCTAAACTATGAATCAGTCCACACGTGTTGTATTTTTATCAAGTGACCATTCAAAAGTGTTGAAAATGGCTTGTTCTGTTTGACGATGCGATGTTAATAATTGAACATTTTTTTTCGCCATTTCTCTGTTTCTATAACTGAAAAGAAAAATGATTGTATTTATATGCACTGAGTACATCGCTTTAATTTATATTGGTCGGTTGCTTGAAACGCATTGCTTTTATCTATGAGATTCGCTAATAACACACTGTTGTACTTCTATGTCTTTTTTTGTTTCTGTCTTACTGTGTGTTGAGGACCACAACGGTAAGTCCTTGGGCTTTATCGCAAAATAAGTGTTCTTAATATATTTCAGTTTTTATATTACATTTCTCAATGCATGACTGTTGTAAACCCACCACAAAAATGGATGAAACTAACAAAATAACCGCATCCTATTTTTTTAACAGTGCAAGGGGCTCTCTTGCATAATTTAAAAAAAAAAAAAAAATCTTTTTTTTCTTATATGATTGAGGCTTGTGCTGCATATCTTTCAAAATCCACGACAAATTATTAGGCCTACTCACATTGTTCGGCAGGATAAGACCCTGTGTAAGCGCAACTCTGACATATCTGCGATGTAGTGGTGATATTACAAATTAAAACTGCAGTCAACTCCTGTATATGCGCAGTTGGGCAGCCGTGGCTTTGCATATTTGAAGTCATCCCCCCCCCCCCCCCCCCCCCCCCTCATTTTTTTTTTTGTTTTTTGGATTTTTCTACGTTGTGTTGCTTTCTTTCCCCGGTCACTACTTCTGACATTATAAAATACAAAGGTGGTTTGTATGAGACCGAACAAAATCTTACCAGATTTCTGTGTGTCCAGCTCATTGTTTGCCATCAGGACGAGTCCCCAGGCGTCAAGGAGACTTTCTTTAATGTCCACACGGAGTCCAACAACATGAAGACAGACTAGTTCCTGCTTCCAAGAACTGAATGTGGGATCCAAAGTGAAGTCTTTCACATCCAGGGCTTGACTCAAAATTCTGAGCTGTGATGCACACTTCGCAACGGTTTCCAACTAGAACATAATGATGGATTTTAAAGTTACATTTTTCATCTGATTTACCAAAGCATGACTACCAATCAACTCAAATAAAATAGCTCTTAGATTTTTAAAAAAGTATGTTATTTTTCACACTTTTTATCATAGTTTGCCTGGTCTTGCGATTTATACTGAGATACGACTCTAGAATTAAAATTAGAGCTCAGCACCCATAATCCCTGTTCCCTAATTATGTTCACTTTAGTTTGGCAGCTGGCAAATACTTTTAGTTCATTACGAATGGTGGCCGGGAGTAGGAGGAGGAGGAATTGAGGAAGAAGATGAAGAGGGGGAGGAAGAAAAAGAAAAAGTCATGCATTCGAGCCTTCGCCACCTTCATAAGTATGCTCAACAAAGTGGGAGTAATGTACCAAAGTATTTGCGAAAAAAAAAGCAGAAGAAGAAATGGAAGAAATACAAGACGAAGTAATCATCATGGCAACTAATGTGTCACTTATTTCCATTTAAACAAGTGGCTTTCTTCAGTCACAACAAGGATTTACAGCATCAAAAGATACAATAACTGACCAGGATTCTAGCTTTGCTCAGAATGTGACACAGGATTCTAGTTAAGGTAAGCCATTTTAAACTAAAAACAAAGATGTTTCCATAGTTAGGAGCAGCAGTTTCGACCAATCAGAAATCGGTCGCTGCAGTCAACATGGGGTACGTTCCTCAATTCAGCTATGATGTCATAACACAGCTCTTGGAGTACATATGTTCAGAGAGGCAGAGCGCACGCCCCTCCCATTAATTTCTGAACACAGCCTATGTTATAAACCACTCAGCAGCTAGTGCTAGAACTGTACTGCATGATGCACTGGGCTCCAGCAGTCCTTTTTTGGTGCATATAACCGAAGAGCACATCTGAACAACGCTCTGACCCAGTCAGCAAAGGCATCTGGCCCGGATTCGGCATGAAGCTGGCACAGCTGGCCTTGTGTCGGCACTGGCATAACGCATGTGGGCCGAACACGGCCCAGGCGTGGCAAAGGAGGCACTGGCTTGACTCTGGCAAACCAGATGAGGGCCAGTTGTGGAGTGAAGTATTTGGGCCAGAAATCAATTTCCAACTCCGGCCCGAATATGGCCAGCCAGTATTGAGCCACTCCTAAATGCAGTTTCAGATTTTTTTTTTCTACACACAGTCTTGTTTTACAATTGCACACCGATGTGGAATTCCATTCATCACACACACAGTGTGTGTGCGTGCACGCACACGCATTTTGCACACGCACGTCCTAATTCTTGTGAACGCTCGCTAGTGCGTTATCTGTAACCCTGTCATACCAACAAGGCGTTTTTCCAGGAACTTAACTAGTGTCCTACAACTACAGCAACTACAATAAAACCCACCAGTAATAAAAGATTAATTCGTCACTTTTCGTTTTCAACAAAGAGAGTGTCGCTAAAATGATTAGAAGTCGTCTCCAGTTCAATTTAGAACATAATGAGAATTGAAAGTGCTCCCACGGATGCCGACACTAAAAGATCGGTGATTGGCTTATTTCGATGTCAATCTAACAGGAACACAGGCTCAGACACATCACCCAAACTAATGCTGAAAAACTGAGCGTCCGGTACCCGCCCACTGCTATCCAGTCCCAGAGACGCCGAGCGCCCGTGGGCGGGACAAAAAA